ACATGTTTAGTGACACACAAGAATGTGCCCAAAATATTTGTTAAACTAAAATGCATTAATAGATACTTGTAGAGGCCATCCTTTGGTTGAAAGTGATATTTGACAAATCATGTTCACATAATCTAATTTGGTGATCGGTTCAAAGAGCAATCTTTAAAAATATCACAAGTCTAACCATCATATAAGCATGTCATCCAAGTATGGGATGAGGAATATATACTTGATGGTGATTTTATTGATGGCTTGACTATAAATGCACTTGTATCATGTTCAATTTAGCTTCAGGATAAGAAGAGATATAAAAGTACAATGGGACAAACTTATAAAAAAACTCTTATATAGTACATCATTTGCATGACACTTGAGCTTAGTGTGTTCAACTGAGTTTGAGTTCGTACAATAATGGGGTAGATTAGACAAGCTTGCTCTATGCGGTAAATCATAAGCATGTTAGACGCTTCTTAGAGGAAGGTGTTCATTAAGGAGATACCAAAGTTAGATAAATTTTGATTAACCTCATATAGGAGGGTAGGAGACCAATAAAAAATAGTCCTAGAAGATTCTTATACAATAAAAGCATAGATGACACTACCATTGCTACTGCCCTCAAACTCTCATTGATTAATAATATAAATGTCCATTTTTGCAAAAAGCAAATGGCTCATTTGGTTTTACAATTAAAGTCTCCTTCTACTTTGGTTTAAAATAATTTTCCTACCTTCAAAATTTTATGCATAGATGTTTGATTTCCTAAAGTGAGTACATTCAATTCATATAACCATATTCTACTACAAGTACATGAGAACCTTCTACGGAGAGAACATCATATTGAATATCTATACTACTATATAAAAGTGGCTTGGGATTCCACTCTTAGCAAATCTTGATCATTCATTTATAAATTTTCAAAATTATCTGAAACGTTCATTTATGACTCCTCAAATTCTTTATTTAAAACACACTTGCATAACTTCTACATACAAAACATTTATAGTCACGTGCATTTAATGCACGGGCATTTTTACTAGTAATCATAAAAAGCAACTAATTGCATAGGAATAAGGCTATGGATAAGATTTGATAATGAGGTTCATCTTAGATAATGCATTAATTGATATAGTGCTCATTGTTATCATTATCAATAATAATATTGCATGAATTATATCCACTTTAAAAGTAGGATTGGAAAATATTAGTATGCTTTCAATTAGTGTTAGTCTGAGGGTTGGTTGACACAAAACATATTACTCTTGTTTGAGTTATACATCGCTTCTCAGCATCATTGGTTTCATCGTCTAGATCATACTTGATATTATCATCTTCTTAGTTTTCATGCTAGTCAGGATGAACAAAATCTAAGTCAAGACTTCTATGAAAATAGTTACTTGCATAATGTCTAGACTGCCACAAGTGAAGTAGGTGAAACTTGAAGATTGGATGCGCTTGGAAGATGAACTACTAAGAACAGTAGTAAATTTGTATTAGGGAATGGGCTTGAGTTACTGCTCCAATTGAAAGGGTCATTGTAATGCCTCCTTAATAATATAAACCTTTTGAGTCAACATCTTTTGACAAATATTAGAGCATATTCTAGCTAGAAATATATCGATATTAGCTTAATGATCTTTAATAATGTCATGCTAGATAATTAGCCCATTGAATTGAGTCGCATAATCAACAACTATCATAGAGCTCTACCTAAGCATGACCAACTCATTTAGAAGCTAATTATAGAGTATTAAAGGAATATGTTTTTGCTTTATAACATCTTCTGTCCTATCCTAAGATCCAACAAGTGGCTCACGAGATCTATAAAGTTGTCACTCCAATTTTGCCTAGTAAGGCTTGGTGTAATCGATGAGTTTCATATCAAAAAATCTAACTTAACAATTCCCAAATAGCCATCAATCAAAGTATTGGTTAACATATATGAGAAAATAAAAAAAAACTTTTAGGTTCATACAACCATCAAAAGTAGAAGGATTAACCTTAACCTTCATGGTGATGTCACAATCCAAACCACAATCATTATGCCTCCAAACAACATCGAACTAGATAAAACCTTAGAGAGGTTCATTATAGTGATGAGGTATCAATCCCATGGAAGAGGTTAATGGAGATAGCCGTAAAGCCTTACCGAAATGTATGTTAGCATCGTGGGGTGGTTGCAATGGAATATCTTCCATCTCAAGGTATTTAGGAAATCCATATAATGGAAAAGCTTGAATTCTTAGTAACTTTAGTTAGGTTGGATGGTGGTCGTTGAAAGTGGAGTGATGGTTAATAATCTATTATGGCATTATCCTTATAAGGGAAATCAAGTAATTGAGAAGATGAGCATCAGACAACGAGTGAAGAGAAATATCAAAAGCCAGTTGAGGGTGGATAGTTGGTTGAAATTCTTATTTGAGGAAGACAAAAAAATCAGCAGGATAATCATCAGATGTCGATTATTGATGGACATTGAAGATCTATCTTTCATAAGAATCGGATAATTGTTGATTGAAAATATTGGAAATAGAGTAACAATCATCGGTTAGTACAATTATTATCCTTATAAGATGGGAGGCAGATTTGAAGAGAAGATGGACGTCACATGTTAGTTATTAATATATGTTATAAGCAATAATCAAAGAGGAATGTTAGATCAACTAGGCAAGAAGACATATATTAAATGTTGTTGAATAATGAGTGTCAAACATCATTCATTAATAGGCATCAAATGATGATCCATGAGGCATGTTGAAGGTTAGTTGACATCAGGCATCAACGTTGGTTGACAAATGGTATCAGGTGGTGGAGGCGATGAGTGGGTCAATAATTGATGTCTTATAATAACTGGCACAACTTTTGAGTTGTTTAATTCTAGAGATTCTCTCCATCCAAAGTCTTCTCCTATGTTTGCAGAAACATGACTTAAAAGTACTCATTTTTATCCAAAAAATTAGGATACTTCATAAGTTGATTAAAAATTATTTCCCATGATCAATCTATATTTTAATTTGGACATCATAATGTCTTAGTAATCTCAAAACTAAGTGACCTTATGCTCATTAGATTTGTCTCATTTAATTGATATATTCAATTAATAAAGTGCATAAATTTGGATGTTATTTTAATCTTTAAATGACCTCAAGAAGTTTTACATTATACTTTAAAGTGTCTTATTTAGCCCTATTTAGGCTCGAATGAAGATGTTTTTTATATTGTTAATTTCATCTCGTTGACCACACTGTCTTGCCTATAAATTTATTGAAAATAAAATTTAAGTGATCATATGATCCTACAATTTGAACGAATTGAGATATAAAAATTACATCATAATTCATGTTTGGTTAAACAAATTTACTTGTGATGTATCAATTGCCTACTAATTTTGGATGCCAAAATCTTCTAGTCCAAACATATTTTAGGTCTTCAAAATTTTGAGATACAAAGTTATAATTTTAAGATAAAATCAAAGAGCAAACAAATTGTTAACCATGAAATTAACTCATTCAATCATAATTAAATATACACATCTTCTTGTATAAGAAGCAAAAATAATATATACTCAAATAAAATTTGCTAAAGAGGCCTTTTGTTATTATGCATGATGACCCCAACTAAAATTGCAATGTAGTAGTTATTCCTTCCAAGACTTCGGATTTGTTTGGGACAGTTTGTTAATGCTTTATAAAGTAACATTTTAATACAATTTTTTTAAAAAAAATTATAAATTTTTGTACTAAAAAGCTGCTTTAAAAAATAGTAAAAAAATTCTCCCAAACGAAACTTTTATCCACCAAAATATGGTAGGATTTTTACAAGGAGTTTGCCATCCATCTCCTCTTTTTACACATTGTATTAGACATGTTTGAATGCCCCATCAGTGCCTTATGTTCTTGTTAGACTAGCTCACCTTGTATTTTGATTCTTTAAAAGTCCAAAACTCTTTGAAACACCAAATTTCTCAATCTTATGCTTTATTGCCTTCAAACTATTCTAAAGCTATTATTGAAGCTTTGCTAAAAACAAAAAGATTGTTCTACTATCAGCTATCAAGTTATGTGGTTTGGCAGTAATCTAATCCAAAAGAGAGAGAAAAAAGGAGCACATACACTATCAAGAACCCACAAAGTTATATAAATAAATAAAGTTTTGTTTGGGACAATTTTCTCGCTGTTTTCTAATACAAAAATTTCTAGTTAAAAAATTGTTAGTATTAAAAAATCGTTTTAGAAAGCAGGAAAAAAACTATTCCAAATAAAACCTAAGTCAATAGAAAATACTCCACCTCAAACCAAATAAACCTGATCCACCAACAAATAATAGCCCTAAATTCTCCAAGAAAACACAAATGCCTTTGATTTCTCATAAAATACTAGAAAAAACGAGACTTATACCATACCAGAAGATCTTCAACAAATGCAGCTCCACAATGGCAAATATTCAAAGCCCTATATGGCCAATAGTGATCGTTTAGTCACCAAGAAGTGATACCCATGCATTAATAATCATGTTACTGACAAAACAAAGGCAATTTAACATAGCAAAATGATAGCCTGATACATCAAACTTCTGCTAATATGAGGATTAAAGGATGGTTGTATGCATTATGAAGAGTGTATTTAGGTGACTTAAACTCACAAGATTAGGTCACTGTTCATGGAGAAATTATTTTGTGCGGACACCAAATGTAATTTGCCGTCAATAGACCAATCAGAATGCGTCATGTCAATAGCACCGAGTGTGGTACCCACCGTGGTACTAAGCCGCGGTACCGAGCGGTACCGAACGGGGGGTGATGTGGTGCATTCTGATTGATCTCTGGATGTCGTTCGACATCCGCACAAAATAATTTGCCCTGTTCAAGGCTCTCCCAAGAACTGTGTGATTTTGAGAAATTATACCAAACTGTTCGATTGCAAGAAAAAGAAAAAGTAAGATTTTAACCTTCTACCGAAAAGCATTCAGTTATTTTAGTTCGCTAATAAATATGAACTCCAGAATAAACTAGATTGTTCATAAATAAGATGATGTTAGCATGAAGAAAGGATCCAAATATAAAACAAAAGAATGGAATTATAATTATACAAGAGAAATTACAAAAATGATTCAATGCATCTTACTGTTACAGCTTTAAAGTTCTTTAGTAGTACACATGGACTCAAAAAAGAAATATATTTCTACCTGAAAAATAAAAATCGACGGTCCCAATTCAGTAATTCCCTTTTAGAAGCTCGCGCTATGAACACAGTGAAAACTACATGTTCGAGCAATTAAAATGGTCTAGCTGCTTCTTCTAACATCTTCTTAAACCTAGTAAGCCTCTCTATTTCTTTCAAAGCCTGAAGTATAACATAAACTGAGTGACTAAATAAAATAAAAAATTTTGTTATTTATCGCAAGCAAAGTTTTCTTGGTTCCTCAATATCATTCTCTTGGACTAATTATCTACAATTACCTGCACTGCCATGTCGTCTGGACTAACTGAGTTCAAGTCCTCATAGCCAAGCTCTGAGGCAACCTCTACAAGAATGCAAGCATTATTAGTTAGAAGTTCTGAATAATAATTCAGTGAAACGAAAAATTCAATGAGACTAATCAATATTTACTTAGGAGTGACACCGTAGCATCAGCTGTTGCATATCCACCTTTCAATTCATTATAACGTGTAGCAAGATTGTCCATCTGTATTACGGGCCAGAAAAAAAATCAGTTAATTTCAAAGGAAAATATTTAGTAACTTTGACAAATTTCCATGCACATATATTTTCCTTTGCTAGCAAAGATTGTTTAAAATGAAAACACTCTTGGGAGCTTTGGCAAGCCAAAGAATCAATAGTCCTTAGAATGGCCTATCTTATGCTAGCAATAGTTTATCAAGATTGCTCTGTTTCACCAGGTTTGAATTCCCTTTGAAATCGATAATCAAAGAAAATTACAAAAAGATTGGCACTGATTTACTTTTTGGTGAAGTTGAGAAATGATCTTAATTTATACAACTCCCAGACAAATTCCATGCAATCACTGGATTCTTAGAGTTTACAATTTCTTCAGGTTTTTCAGTTGACTTTAAGACAACTTTAATCAACACATTTTCTAGTTATCTGGGAATTGATTATGTTAGGCAGGTTCTCACTGAACCGGCCCAGCTGGCCGGACCGGCTCTAGTATACAGGAGGCGGACAAACCGCACACCCGCCAACTAGGAAGCCAATTAAGGAGAGAGAGAGAGGGGCGACAGCTAGGTTTTGAGGGAATTTTTAAATTAGGAGTTTGAATTAAGGGATTAAATAGTAAGAGTCATTTAGGGTTAGGGTTATGCATGTTTTGTGGCTGTTTTGGAGAGTTCTTGACTTGGGAGTCTGGGAAGACTCCCTAGATTTCATCTAGGGATTAGGAGAGAAGATCCTCCTCTTGAATTGAGGATCAATTATATCGTGTGTTGGTTTCTTTGTTTATTTGAGTTCCTTCAATCCAAGGCGTTGTTTTTGCTGAAATTTTCCATCTGATTCTCGTTCGTTGCTGTTTTTAGCCTCTATTGTTAGGGATTACTCAGATTTCCCAAGATATTTGCTAACATATTATTGCTCAAATCAATAATATTTCATACCAGTTTTTATTAGAGATGCAACCATGATGGGCCACCAAGATAAACATTAGAAAATATTCCGTGTAGTGTTAAAGCACATCAAATCTCTAAAAGAAACACGTTTAAAGTTATTGCATATTTAGACACGAATAGTAAAACAAAAAAAAAAGAACCAATAACAGTAATCTAAAGAGCAGAATGAGTTGGTTTACTTCAAAGAAATGATCATCATCTGGTGGTATTTCCAAGTCAGGAGAGGAGCCTTCAGCCCTCAATACTTCATCTGCCAACATATCTAGGGGAACATCAATCCACAGTGATATGCCATGCCTCAAAAAAGCCCTTTAAAGTAAAAGGTTAAAAGAGAAGCTGTGAGCTCTTAAAAGCTGGAGTTCGAAAAGCAACAATTAGATATGCGGATTTATTATTAGAAAAATGAAAGTTAAGTTTCTTCTTACAGATTTGTTGAACTTTGCACAGCACCATCCCCTGCACAGACTACCAGACGACCCATAGCAGATAGCTGCCTTAGAACTTCAGTCTGACAAGCCACAATACATTATGTAAGAATTGTCCACTTAAGCAAATTATCACAATGGATGACCAAAGTAACTTCTTAAATACTTCAGATTCTTGAAATTTTTCATCATCTCTCTGTTGAAAGGATTTAGCAGCAGAGGCGCCAGCAGTTGCTTGTTCAACTACACTATCACTACACAACAGAAAATATATATATATAATGTATAACAAAATATTGTGTAAGGACCCAAAAGACGTACAGGGATTCTTTAATAACATTGGAAAGATATGAACCTTTCAAAGTAGTAGTATTTCAATACATTAGCTAAAACCTTCCCCAAGTTGGTTTTCATCGTGCAGTTCATCCCTGCACATCCATCATTTATAAATATATAATATAGCGCTTCATCTCAAACTTGTAGTATCTACAACAAAATTAAGTACAACAAAATTAAGTACGAAGTGACGCAACCATGGCGACAGAGTAAAACCGATGAAAAGTTGGAAAATGGAGTATGAGATAGTATGGTCAATGAAGCACTGGTAAAGGGAGTATGAAAGGTCTAGGAAGAGTTCAGACTGAAAATGGAAATCAGCAAACCACTACCATAGAGAAGGATAACAAAAAACAGAAATTCAACCAGAAACAAAATGGATAAAGTAGTTGCTATGGCTGTAATGATGACGAGGAAGATGATGATAAAGCAATTTTTCAGTTTCACAAATGAATTTACTCCATCGCAATCTGCAAATCGGCTCATATAAATGAAGACTTCTGAATGTAGATCTTACCAACAAGAAATATGGACGTGCCTTTCAGTTCATTGGAAATCTCAGCAGCTTTCTTCTGCATTCATGTTCAATTAGAAGAAATATTTCAGGTTTCTTGAGGTGCTGTTGTTTATTTTCATAATAATATTAGAAGCTAGGCCGCAATAAATGACTCACTTTTACAACGAAAGATGCTTCAAGCTCCACCGTTGACATTCTTGTGCCTACCGAACAATTTGAACAAAAAGAAATGGTCACTTGTTCATTTAACAAAAAATGGAAACTGTTCCGAACCATAATATTTCTAGACTAGGAATCATTTTTGAAGTTATAAATATTGAATGTTTGAATAATTAATCATTCCTTTAATTAAGATTTTGTGAATATATACAAGTATACAAGGCTGTAAAAGAGAGGTTTCCCAACTACAAATATAAGCATGAAATTCAAGCAGAAAATTATATAAACATGGGAGAATAAAGTAGGAAACTAATTAATTACAATATTATGCATTTATTTCTCAAACGATACATGGGCCATGTGAAGGGGGATTTGAATTTATTCCTAAAGAAAATTATAACTAATAGCCACATATTTCATGCATAATTAAGTGAAGAACAAGCTTTGCACAAAAATGAGTACCATGCTCATTGTTACAATATATCATTAGGGACCTAAGGAAGGTGGATGCCAAGTTCAGTGAGCAGGGAACACACCAAATGAAGCTTAACAGTTGTGGTGGCAATACATTGCTATGTAACTTTGGTGGAGAAGTGGGTTACAATACTTTGTTTCACAGTAGATGTTTTGTTGTAGTACAATGATCAATAGTGGGGCGATGGTTTATTAAGCATAAAAACAATGTTTGAGTGGGTAATAGCTAAACTGGATTGCCCTAAAAAATTCTATAATTAGTCAAATTAATGAGCGTAGATCCACAGAAAAAGTGAGCATTCGTGACATAGCAAGTAGTATCATCGCAGGATTGGTGTCTATCATCTTAGTGCAAATAAGAAGATCAATCATATATCAACGTTGAGATAAAAGAAGTCAATGTGGATGCCAAATAATTTCAACACCAAGATTATATTACAAAGGGCCCAAGTTCCCTTTTGCAAAATCGTTGGACAAGAAAAATGATAAAGCATTGCACGATTATGTTAGAGTTATCTAAAATAGTAATTTCATCAATATAAATTATAATAAAAATAAATGTATCATCATAGTTGAAGATAAAGAGAGATTTATCTAACAGAAAGTTGAGAAGCAAGTAACAACTAGAAGTTATCATAGCTCATGGTGCTAGGCACATGTGCTTGCTTGAGGCTATAGATAGATTTGCAAAGCTTGCACAGATATGTAGGGTGGTCAATGACAATGAAAACCAGTGGTTGAAAACTATTCATATAGCGGTAGGATTGACATTTGAATTGAAGTTGTCATGAAAGTTAACTCACATCCATTGGCAAACCCATTAGCCACCAACCGAGCTTCATATATTGCAATAGTGCCTTTAGAGTTATGTTTGTTCCAAGAAAATCCACATGCACTCAATCAAGTTTTAACTGGAGGTTCGGGAACAAGTTCAATGTTCCATAAAAAAAAAAAAAGCATTATATTCATCCAACATGGCCTAATGGTAGTTATTATCTTTAAGTGCTTGGGTTATGGTGGCAGGTTCAAGGTAAGGTGATTGATTTAGTTTGGTTGTGAGAATGAGTTTTTAGATTGATTATTCATTATTTATTATTATTATTATTATTTTGACTTGCTTGTTCATTGGATGTGTTGCTAGGGTAAAAGGTGGTCAAGTGGTGGTTGTCACGGAAGAGGGTCTCAATTTTGTAGTGGAGGGAGGTGGGGGTTTTGGATGTTTTGTTTAGACTGGATGTTGTACACGATGATGCTATAGAGAGAGATGTTGTGGATGGTGTGTATGAAGAGAGCCTCTATGGAAGGATAGGGGTATAGTAGGTAAATACCATAAGGAGATTGTTTTTTCAAGTGTGTCATAAGAGGGAGAAAGAGATGCAATGGGAAAGATAGAACTATAGATGATGAAAGACACATATTTGGATGTAGTGGTGTTGAGGCAGAGCTAGATAGGTACTTTAAGTGAAGAAGTAGCTGAGGTAGACATGAGGTTTGATGTGACATTCAAGTTTATTAGTGGTGTGTGTAGGTGAAGCCGCGGATGGTAAAGGTAAAAAGGACGAAGTGCGTAATAGTTGGAGGCAAGCCAAAGAGTTGTTCATATGGAAAGGAGAGACAGTGTGGGGGTCGGCGGATAGTTTATGATGTAGGCTAATGTGGAAAAATCATGCATCCAATAGGAAGGTGGAATGGCGCATGGGATGAGAAAGAGAGATTAGTTTGAACAAAATGCACGTAACGTCTTTCACTCATCCTTAGATACATGTGGTGGACTACTGAGATGAAAGATGCCATCACAAGATAAAAATACATCATGAGCTCGATAGTCGTCACTATTATTAGAGCATAGGGTAATGATTTTATGATTATTAAACTTTACTAGTAAGGCTTTGAAACTTATAAAGGCATAAAAAATATGAGACTATGCTTAAGTGAATAATACTAGATGTATTTTGTATAGTGATCAACAAAATGACATTATTTTTGAAATCATCATATGACTGTATGGGAATGCCCACATTTGAAAAGTGTATTTCAAAAGGTTGTGAAGATATAGTACCATAGGTAAAAAGTAGAATCTCATAACTTTTATAGCATTGACATGCATTGCAAAGGAGAGTTTATGTTGTGGAAATGATAAATCTAAATTGAAAAGAGAAATAATATATTTGAGTCTTTAAACTAACAGATAACTTTATCTATGATGCCAAACGACATGTTCTTGAAACCGGTAAATAAAATAAGTGCAGTTGATTGATTTTTCGTTCATACAAAACATTTTTAGTTTTCTCATCAAAAGGATTGCCCTTATGTGTAGATTATCCAAATGGTAAGTGTTAGGTAAGAACTCGATAGATATATGATTACAAAGAAAAAACTAATATATGAAAATTAAATTCTTTTTCATGCTAGGTACATGATGGACATTGTTTGAGGAAAAGCGATAAGATGCAGGTGGTAAAAAGGTGGAACAAATGTGGGTTATAGGTAAACAATGTCGTTTTCAATTATAAAGACATTAGAGCTATAATACAGAGTGTGAGTAGAGAGATTGCTCAAGTTAAAGATAATGCAATGAAAAGGCATTTTAGTCATGTGGAGTGACCAATGTGTAGTTGGTAATATAGTAGTTGTGTAGTTGCCACAAGGCAGGTTGGTGAGACGAGTGAGGCACTGATGAGCAGAAATTAGTGGTGGGTTAGGAAGAAAATAGTTGAAAATTTAGGAGTTGTAATAACAATTGGAGCAAAATCAAATGAAGACAAATGATAAACATATCAAATATCGTAATCACAAGACATAAATTTATATGTTTCAGTGAAATTCACCTATATCCATGGCTGCATAAAGGTCAAATATTTCACTAAACTTAAAAGAGAAGCATACAAATATTTCTTTTGTACATAAAAAGATCAGGATAGAGATACCACATTCTTTATGCTAATAATTAAGATGAAACACAACCACCTGCTGTGAAAATGAGGGTCAAATGTGGAGAAGAAAACTTTACTGTTCCTATAATTTCCATCTTTCCTTCTCGATTGTGAGCTTCTACTAACAAGAGTTTTCCCTTACTCTTGTTAAAAGCTTAGGCCCCTTTTTCCTCTCTCTTCCTCTCCTTTTTATTTTCTTGTGGTTATCAAATACCTAAATACAATGAGACCACCTCCTTATATAGAGCGTAGAAATGGTCGGTAGAAAGCTTTAATATATTAGGTAGTTTGTGGTAGGTATCGTAATATGGAGGCTAGGCAATGAATGGTAGGTCAAAAAAAATATGCATGAGATAGGTACGAAAACTGTATGAGTTAGGAAAAGAAAAATTATCTTCACATCTTAACAATCTCCCACTTGGAGATAAAATTTTCTAATGAAGTTATATAGTATTGGTGTCTAAACACCTCTTTGTACGACACCTTCATATCTTCATTCAAAGAGTTTTACTAAGGACTTGCAAAGCCTCAACTTTTCAATAGATAACACTTTCATGAGCATATCGACGAGATTTTCTACTTTTCGACTTTGACAAATCGTAAAACATAATGTTTAATCAAGCAACATATGATGTGATACTTTGAGTTAAATGTGTTTTGTTTACGAGTGAAAAGCAAAGCAACATTCTTTACAAACTAAATGACACATTGATTATTGCATAATAGATAAATATTGTCTTTGAAGATAGTTACTTATTCAGCTCTACCTGTTGATATTGAAAAATTATCTTCACATCTTAACAATCTCCCACTTGGAGATAAAATTTTCTAATGAAGTTATATAGTATTGGTGTCTAAACACCTCTTTGTACGACACCTTCATATCTTCATTCAAAGAGTTTTACTAAGGACTTGCAAAGCCTCAACTTTTCAATAGATAACACTTTCATGAGCATATCGACGAGATTTTCTACTTTTAGACTTTGACAAATCGTAAAACATAATGTTTAATCAAGCAACATATGATGTGATACTTTGAGTTAAATGTGTTTTGTTTACGAGTGAAAAGCAAAGCAACATTCTTTACAAACTAAATGACACATTGATTATTGCATAATAGATAAATATTGTCTTTGAAGATAGTTACTTATTCAGCTCTACCTGTTGATATTGCAACTATCTTCTACAATTGTGGCATGCAATTGAAGTCAATGCCACCTAGGGTAGATATTCCCAATAGAACGTTTTTGTATATCTAGATCTCCTCCCATATCTACATCAACAAATCATTGTAGTTTCAAGTTAACCCTTTTAAACTTTAATGAGTGAATTATTATACTTTTCAGGTAGTGTATAATGCAATTTACAACCTCCCATTGTCCCTTTCTTGGATTTGACATATAGCGACTATCAATTCCCACTACATGTGCAATGTTTGATCTTGTGCAGACCATTACATACATTAAAGAGCTAACTTTTGATGCGTAAGGGATTTTATCCATATAGTTTTTATCTTCACCTGGATATGGTAATTTTTCCTTTGAGAGCTTGAAGTAACTTGCAAGTGGCATACTACCATTTTTGTTTTCATCATATTGAACATATCCAACACTTCTTTTATATATATATATATATAT